AAACAGATTGACGGCAGAAGACAGTGGTACCTATATCTGCTCTGCACGAAGCGAGTTCGTTCATGTGGAGGCTGAGGTGCAACTAATTGTAAAGACTTGTAAGCCAACTACTGAGCATTTACGCATGCGCGTTCCCTTGACGAAACGTTAAGTGAACCATAAAGGGGAATGGTTATGAAACCCGACAAAGTTTATTATTGCATATTTTTTTTTGTTCTCTTTTTTGGCCTTTACCGCGGACAATAGTTTAACACAATAGCTGCTTACTGCTGACTGAGGTACAAGCCAATAGAAACGTTTCTGTTATGTAACTCGCGTATGAGCGCAAAACAAAGAATTTGTCACAGTCGTGGACCTTCCAACCTAAATCTCATCTTGTTTTCCTCATTTGATGATTGTCGGGCTTCATAATCATTCACCTCTGTTAACTACGGTTACAACATCAACTTCATAAATGCCTTGTTTTTTATAGCCTTCTGCTTATGTATTTTATTTGTAACTTGTTTCTTTTATCAGTGTCTTTTTTTTATCGGTGAAATTTGTCTGGTTTAATTGTGGGAGAGATTAGCTAAGATTGTCATACGTGTAAAATTCAGGAGGTTTTTCCTATACTTTCGTCGAAATGCGGGTTCTGAAACGCGGGTTCTGAAACGCAAAAGCGCCTTTTGGATACTGCCATTACTTTTTCTCCCTTTAATCATGGTTTGTGGTCATCAATCATTCTATTCTTAAACGAGTAAAGCTGCCGGCCCTCTTCTTTGATTGACTGATTTATTTTTTCTCTTCAGCCCGAGACTGTGCCGAGCTGTTTTCTGCTGGCTTCAAGGAAAGTGGAGTGTACACAGTCGACCCAATAAACAAGACCAGTTTTGAAGTGTACTGTGACATGAAGACAGATGGCGGTGGATAGACTGTCTTTCATAAACGCTTCAATGGGTTTGTTGGATTTTACAGGACCTGGGACGAGTATAAGAACGGCTTTGGTGATGTCAGAGGAGAGTATTGGCTTGGAAACGAAAAGATTCATCAACTGACTGAGATTCCGAGTCAGCTGCGAGTGGAAATCAACACGACATCAAGTGGAAATAGATATGCCAAGTACAGTAATTTTACAGTTACTAACGAGGCTACTAACTACACACTGTTTGTCGATTTCTATTCCGGCTCAGCAACCGATCAACTTAAAAACCATAACAGCATGGCTTTCACTACCAAGGATCGGGATAACGACCAAAACAGTGGCAATTGTGCTCAATCCCGAAAAGGAGCTTGGTGGTATAAAAACTGTTACTCTTCGAATCTGAATAGTAACTATGGAGACGGGGATTATCGGTGGAACTGGGGCCCCCTCAAGGGAAGTGAGATGAAACTCAAACCAAAATCTCCGTGAACGATAAACTTTAACGTTTGCCAATAAAAAGCCCGATCAAAATGAAGGAAAAAGAAGAAAAAAGCTCTTAAAAACAAATTGTTTTTTAACAGTTTGTTTTATAGTGCATGATTTGAAGATAGAATTGTAGCTCTTTTGAACGGCAGTCTTCCATTATCGAGCGGCCATATCTTTTCCTCCCGCGTTTACTAGCACATTCTTCCGTAATAACTACATAAACTACACATCTATTTCAGGTCACGGCAGAGCAGTTTTCAACTCGGTGTCAAAAAAGCAAAACCAAAATAATCACTCTAGCCAATCACAAAGGACATAGACAATGCAATGAACCAATCAAAACTGAAAAACAAATATATATAGCTAAGGAGAAGCGCGGGAAAACGAGTGCGATCAAGTCATGATTGGTTTTGGTTTTACTTTTGACTGGATGACAAAGTGGCACGAGTTTTTGAAGCAATCGATTAACAAAAAAGTAATGCAAAACCAAAGAAAATACGAAACACTTTCGATACTCAAGTGAAAACCGCTCCATGATCTTATAATGAATATGTCTGCGCTGTGAAAGAATTCCGTGGGGAAAAATATATCTACCGTTCCATTTTTTCTGTCTATTAGCATGTACATACAATTAACGTGAGCCAAGGACGTGTTCAGCTGCCACGGGTGAAACGTGTGAGTCACGCGCGCCAACAGATTGCGAAAGATTTTTTTGCCGTTATTATTATCATCGTTTCTTGATTTCAAATAATATACTATATACTATATACTCCGTAGAATCTCACGTACAGAAACCTCAAATCTCACGGTTTCCACAGATAAAAATCCAACGTCTTTGCGTCTCAGACTTGAAGAGTCGAGAATGCCACGAAACGCTTATAACGCGCGTGTAAAACGCGTTGGACAAACGAGTTGTCAAATTTGACCTTCCACTTGCCATCTTTCATCTCTCTGTACTTTGCTGGACTTCCGTGCTTCCTTTTCGAGTTTTGAGCAAGTTGGTTAGGAAGAACTCTCCTGTTCAAAAGAAAGCAAAATACAAATAAATATTTTACAAGGAATGAGCTACATTGTAGAGCCGTTTCGTTGGATCTTCGTATAACCATTCGAAGAGTTTCCGTTTCGTATTACCCAATCAGAAAATAGTGCGAGCACTCCCGAGAACACGTCACCATCACATCATGTCATGTTGCTTAGCAACCTTGCTGACGAAAACCGCGGGGTTAGGATGTTACTAAGCAAAATATAATACGTTGAGCCCGGTTGTTCAAAGGGTGGAATCACACTATCCAAATTGTTATTCAGTAGGTAAGTGTGAACAAAACAAACTAAGCATGTTTAACGCCTTTCTTTGAGCAACAGGGAGCAGATGGTGAACTGCCCGCGTCAAAACAAACGAAGAGATGAAGCCATTACAATAGAAAACCAAGGCTTCTAACAGTATGGCAATATGGAATAGAAGATTTAAAAAAAGGTCATATAGCAGCAAAACACATATGCCTGTTTACTAGGAACCCAAAGTCCGGATTTTTTCCCAGACAATCGAGATTCTTCGCAGGGGCATGGTATTTTTTTTTACGACAAGACTTACTTTACTATGGGAAAACAATTCTGTCTGTTCGTCGGTTTGTTTGTTAGTTAGTTAGTTTAAGTGATTGTTTGCATGTTTTTGTCGGAGTGAGGGAAGAGTAACTGTGTGTCTAGTTATTATTTACTCACCCGCTTAGTAAGAGGATCGTACAAGCGGTCCGCTCGCTGTGTACGCAAAGCCGAGTTCATTTCCAACTGACTCCCAGTGTTTAAACTTCTCAGGAGTAATGTACTCAGTGACCTAAAAAGGAAATAAAGAAAGCACTAAATAACATGAAGTTTACTCGAGAAACACGTACGCGCTTATGTATAAGCAAGCTAAATTACTGTAAGTAGAACAGAAGTCCTATTGACGCCATTAACTGATACGGGACGCGTTTGAAATGAAATTTATGACTTCCTAAAGATATAACCAAGGCTCTATAGCAAAGATATCAGTGACTTC